GGCACAAGGGAGGTGGGGGGGAAGCTCCCCATTGCTGTGTGGCCTCTCAGGGGAGGCATGGGGGGGCATACGCCTCCTGGATTTGTGCACGGGGCAAGGATGGGCTGCCTGTTGCAGGCTCGGGGCCAGGAGCTGCACCAGCCTCTTCCCCATGGGGGGCTGGGCCGGTGCTGCACTCTGGCTGGGTAGTGCTGGGAGGGGTGGTTATGGAGGGGGGCTGTGGGGAATTTTGGGGTAGCTATAGCCCCCCCAGCTCAACCTTAACACCCCCCCTGCTTGGGACACTATGTTCTCCTGCAGCTAAGACCACCCTGCCACCACCTGTCTTCTGCAGCCCTGGCTTAGCCCCCTGCAGGGAAGAGGCTAGTGTGACCTCTGGCCCTAAGCCTGCAGCTTGCCTTTGCCCTGTGCACAAATCCGTGGGGCACATGCCCCCCATGCCTCCCTTGGGGGGGGGTGCAGTGGTGGGAAGCCCTCTCCCCCCCTTCTGCCCATGGCTCTGTCCCATGCCCTGCCCTGGAGTTGCATTTACTGCCCCTTTTGCTCCCTCACTGTGAGGGCTTCAGTCTGCACCCCCCCATGCCCCTTCTCCCCCCCCCCTTCCCGCCCAACAGATTTACCGACAGGATGCTGCTCTCCACACTGCCTGGCTGCATTCCTGTACATTGGCTATCGGATTGGTATCGGCTGGTATGGCTGGTTAATAATCAGCAATTGGTATCGGCCAAGAAAATTTTTATTGGTGCACTCCTGTTCATAATACAGTATAGGAGACTAGAAAGAGAAGATTATACAGCAAGGTACAATTTTACAGCAACAGCCATCTCTCTTTATGAAAACACTGCGTCACAAAACTTTATGACCAGTGTCTCTTCTCTTACTAGGAAGCTGTTACCTAAGGTACAAGTGTTGAAAGAGGATGAGGTCAGGGAGGATTTCCAAAGAAACCTCTCATCTTGGTACTTCTATGTATTAAAGCAACCAGCAATTAGGGAGTGAGCTAATGTATCCATAAACTTAATGCACAAGAGTATGACTCTGTGAATTTCTTAGTTTGTTAAAATTGGAGTTAAGATTTTATGGCATAGCATATCACTAACCCAATTAATATAAACTGTAGTAATTTGCATCAGTTTTGAAGATTTCACCATTGCATGACTTGCTAGGCTAAAGAAGCGTTCTTAATAAAACGTGTTCTGTGTTTGTGTTAAGCGGTATAAGTGTCCTTTCTTTCTCTTTTTTTCATAGCCGAGCAAAAGATGTGACAATGCCAGCAAAGATTCCAGTTAATTTCTTCTCCTCAAGATCTCCAGTCATTGATCTTTTTCGGGGACAGTTGGATTATGCAGATCATCTTCGTCAGGATTCTGAAGTTGTGTTATATTTTTTCTATGCCCCATGGTGTGGGCAGTCTGTCGCAGCAAGGGAAGAAATCGAACATGTGGCTAGCAGGCTGTCAGACCAGGTAATTCTAATGAAGACACTGCTTTTAAAAAATGGCTTAATTGAGCTTTTGTTCCTCTCCAAATGGTGAGTGGAATTCTTTTTTCTTTTGGCAACATGCAGTTCCATGCGAAGTTGAATGATTATTGGGACTTGAAAGATCACATTCAAGGGCAGAACTTAATTTCTTTTTAAAATTTACGTATAGAAAAGTCGTGGTTCCCCTTCTCTTTTGTGTGGTTGTCTCAATTCTGAGAGGGGAACTGGGTGAAAAATTAATACAATTTTTTCAGAATGTCTTGAAATAGGTTTTTTTTTGTTTTGTTTTTTGTTTTTTGTTTTTTTGTTTTTGTTTTTGTTTTTGTTTTTTTTTTGCCCTTGTGAAGCAGCAGAGAACTGGCTTTCCTAATGCTTTCAGACAGCAAGGCTCCTGGGAACCTGTTATCTTCAATGGGTGATCATATGAAGGCCTCTGTCTTGCATTAGCTTCTGCCAGCAATACAAGTTACCTGTAGGCTTTTAATAAATTGGGATCTTTACTTAATGTGCTAGATTTTTTTGGAAGGGTTTTAGTGTGTACATGCATGTGGGCTCATGATTGTTTCAATCTTCTGTATCCAAATTTTTCCAACACTAGTTCTTGGTCAAAATTAGTAATGTAGTTCTCTTAGTCTTGAGTGTTTCATTAAAGTTCAGAGAGTTTGCTCATATCTGTATATCAAACTCAAAACAACAGCAGCTTTGAGCAGACTTAGCCTAGGAAATATATGCTTTCAGAAGTAAACTTTTCAGGTACTTGTTCATTTTATGAAAAGAGTGATTGTAGTGGTAACTTTTTGCCTCTTTAAATATAGTGCACAGAATCAGAAAACAGTGAAGACTAGTTAGCTTGACTAAAATCTAATTGGTGGTTACATAGCTTATATATAACACCCATTAGCATGTACTATTTCCATCTTCCTATATACTTCCTTCCCAGGTAAGTGCTATTTTTCCTCTAATTAAATTACTTTCCCATCTGTTTACCAGCTATGACTTTGTTTTGTTGTTTAATATCTTTGTCTCCTTGTGCTGTCCTTAGACTGGCCCAGAAATAGAAATCTTTTCTAAATTTACTTCATTTTATGTATTGCCATTGTTTTCAGTTTCAGTACTTTTTGGTTTTGGGTTATTTTGCTGCCTTCTGCGAACGACAAGAAGCAGTTGAGACTTTTTATGGTATTTCTTTCACCTTGTTGAAGACTTCTGTAGTTGCTTCTGTGAATCCTTGAGTGATAACCATCTTACTTTGTTCATTGCTCTCTGCATCTTGGGAGAGATACTACCCACAGAACTGTGAGCGGAGTGTAGAGCAGAAGTATTTCAACAGAATCCTGAGCTTTTTGGAAGTGCACAGTCAGCAGGTTTGCTTTTTGGTGTGGTGGGATACAAAGAAAAATCCTACAAGGCACAACATACTCAGAAAGGATATGTTTGTAAGAAGATGAGAATGTTGATTTGTCTTTTAATACATTGTATTGCTGTTTTCATCTTAATTGTGAATCAGCTGTGCCCACACTGTTTACATGGTTTCAACATCACCTTAGCACATGTTTACTTCAAAAAAAAAAAAAATGACATTCTGAATAGGTTATTACATCATACAAGTTTCAAATGGCTTATTTCACCTGCTTGTGGGGAGGTTTATGGATGCAATTCTGATTTGTTGCATACAATTTCTGTGTTTTATGTGGATAGTAGTCTACTACTTCTGCATTTTTTATATATCAGCACTGTATGCTACCTATTCTTTTTCTCCAGTCATTGGATTTGGCTCTTTTAAAAGATTCAGGCTTGTCATTCATACAAGAACACAGCCTTTTCACAAAAGAATAGAAAATTACATGTGATATCCATTTTGAATTTGGCAATAACTTTATTTTAACACTGTTTATTAATAATAATAATAATAATAATAATAATGTTTCTATAGTACTGTTAATCAACCAGGAAAGGTTTCTCATTATCCTAGGCACTATACAAATACAGAGTAGCAGATCAATGGGGCCTCATAGATCTTACAATCTAGATAGGTAGGCAAATGGATGGGGGAAGAGATTTGACACACAAGAAAAGTAAACAATGTGTTGGCAGCAAATGACATGTTAATTCTGCAGGCTTTATGTTTTTGTTTTTGGGGGGTTTTTTGCTGGGTCTGGTTAGGTGGTCATGAGTTAAGTTGAACAGGAGAAGTAAAGGGACAGCCCAATGTGGAAGAAAAGGAGCCAGTGGGGAAATGGCAGAAGAGGAGAAAAAGTCAAGATGATGCATCTTGTCCTCATTAGAGAA